GAGAATGAACAAGAAAGAGCAAGAAGCGGAGGCAGGATGGTAACACTCACTGGTCTGGGTCCTCACCTCCACATTATCCTCGGTCTACATAAATCTCAGCATTGTCACCCACGGAGTGAGAGGGATGAGCCAGTTAAAGACATCTCTAAGGCTCTTCCATCTCTAACTCTGATGTAGGGGTAGCGACTGGGATCGATGCTTACAGAAGAGGGTGCGAGGTAGGCATTGCTGTCTAAGCAGAGCTGTCTTTTGAACATCTGAATGGGTCTGATCTTTTGTTTTTAAGACTTTATTTATTTATTCATGAGAGACACAGAGAGAAGCAAAGACACAGAGAGAGGGAGAAGCAGGCTCCCTGTGGGGAGCCCCATGGGGGACTCGATCCCAGGACCCCGGGATCAGGACCTGAGCTGAAGGCAGCAGCTCAACCACTGAGCACCCAGGTGCCCCATGAATGGGTCTGGTCTTACACAGGCTGGCCAGGAATGGTTTCTGTGTGGGCTTATGAATTCAGCCAACGTACACTAAGAAGAGAGAATATGGGAGGGGTTTAGGGGTGGGTTTTGTTTGTTTGTTTGTTTTTTTGGTTTTTGGTTCTTTATCTCGGTTAATTACAACCAAAGCCCTGTTAAAAATATGTTGGTAAATTGAATATAAATTTAAAAAATGTAAATAAAAATGTCAAGCCAAAAAGTAAAAAATGTCAAGCCAAACCACAAGGCTTCTTATGCGGTTCTGAGTAAACACTTTGAGTTTGGACATAATTCTATAATCATGAAGGGCAGACAAGCAATCAAGCTCCTCTGGTTTCCTGTGATCTTCTATGTCTTCGTCTGACCTATTGGGAGTTCATACCTGGAGGCGTAGTGGGAGCCCCAGCTCTCATGTTTTCCACACGAGGAGAAAACTCAAGTGCTTTTTCCCATACCGGTGACCATCACAGAGGAAATCCCGACTACTGTGTAGTCTTGGCCTCCTCCACCACCAGTCTATGTTTGCAGGAGCCTTGTCTACTGCCTGCATCACTGTCTCCCCTAGATCCAGAACAAAGCGTGACATCTAGAGAGGACTCAAATTATATTTGTCAACTAAATGAAGGAAGAAACTAGCACATGCCTTCTATTCAAGCCTACAGAAGTCCTAGCAAGATGAATTCATAGACTGTGTCTGACACATAGGTATATATTTGGTGGTTTAAATTGGTCTTGACAAGTCAACTTCAGTCTGGTACTTTTCAAAAAAACAAAACACAGCAAAACCAAAAGTAGTCCCCAAAATAATAGGTCAGTGTTTCATCTTCCAGGACTCTCCACCAATCCTAAAAACATCTTTACCTTGATCTTTTCCCCACTTATGTTTTAGAAATGATGCTAACCCTAAATTTAATTACAGTGTATTTCTTTAGAAATAATAGGGGGGAAAAGGTATTGGTCCAGTTCACACAGAGCAAAATACAGGAGCTTCCAGAAATTTAGAATAAATTAGACCATGATTCTCTACAACAAAATGGAATAACTGTGGGTAAAAATCATTATCTGACTCTTAACCTAATTCTCTGGTGTGTATATATATATATGTGTGTATATATATATATATATATATATATATATATATATATATATATATATATATATTTTTAAGATTTTATTCATTTATTCATGAGAGACACACACACAGAGAGAGAGAGAGAGAGGCAGAGACACAGGCAGAGGGAGAAGCAGGCTCCATGCAGGGAGCCCAATGCGGGACTCGATCTCGGGTCTCCAGGATCACACCCTAGGCCAAAGGCAGTGCTAAACCACTGAGCCACCCAGGCTGCCCTCTAGTATATATCTGAGACAAATATTAATCATTTATTTTCCTAAGATGATTTTCATTGCTTATATAACATGGAAACATTTGGACAAAAAACAAGTGCTGGCTTTTAAAACACATCCTATAGAAACACAGATGCAATTTAGTATTGCAGGGAAAAACTAAAGACATTAGATACGAGCAGAATCAAACAACAAACAAAAACGTAATAGTTACTTTTCTTGAAAGCCCCAGGTTTCTTTGTTAAAATTTCCTAATTTTGAAATTACATTTGCTTTTTTTTTTTTTTTTTTTTTTAAACAAAACCACCACAAACTTCACCTCAGACAAAATGCACTATCAAGACTGGAAATAAGAACTGTGTGGTGACAGTTTGGCAGCAAAAAGGATGACCTTAGAAGGTCATGTCAACCCAATCCTGACTTATGACAGCGATAGCCAACTCATTAATTAATGCCCAGGACACAATGTGGATTTTTTTTTTAATGTCTTCACACTAAATATCACACATCGAGCAAAGGAGGAGACCTTTCTTTAAAAAAAATAACTCTAACATTATCTTAGATTATTATGACCAGAAAGAAAGAAGCTTTAAATCTACATTAGAGAAGAAGAATATATTCTGTGTAATGGTAGGCTCTTAAGTGTAAGGGAGAGCATGGGGAAGGAGGATTGTCTTGATCCAAGTATGTCAATTTAAAACACACAAGATGGTAGCCACCTTTGAGGAGTGTTAGGCAAGCAGAGGTAAGCTGCCTTCTTGTACTATTTTTGTTTAGACTGTATGAGAATGGAGACATGAACTACTCAAGTTTTTTCTCCTGAGAGAGAGTGGCTCACAGGTGGGCTGTATGTACCTGCTGTTCTTACATAAACCTCTGGATCTTAGAAGGTGCCTGAATCCTTCATAAGACTCCCCAAATTGCCTTATATTTCACAAGGAATCCAACTGTTTTATTCTCTAAAGTTCACTTATAAGCTTTAGGAGACAAGTATTTCCAGAATGAAGAATGCTGCCAAGTATCTCCTCACCCACAATCAGGGAAGCTGGCTTTAGTGACGGTTGATCCATACATTTTGCTAAATATCTTTCTTATATTCTTAAAATCACCCTTGGTTAAAAAGATTATAAATCTTTATAGTAGGTATGATACAGTAGCTACTTAATGATGAGTGGCTATTAATATTGTTTACTGGAAAACCAATGAATTTGGATTCTGAAAAAAACAAAAACCTCTTGCTATATGTCTGGTAAAATAAGGATAGGAGTGCAAGGTACACAGCCAGGGCCCTCAGGGAGGTGATCATGGACAATCACCATTCCAGCCCACTTTTAACACATGAGCTCATCTATTTTCACATCCCCTGTCTACATCAAACAGCTTTGCTCAAAAGCCTGGATATTTTGGCATTAAGCCTTACATTGAGTAGTCTGGGCCATGGAATCAATGTAGTTTAAAAGCACCGTTGAGGGTGAAGTCTGTGCTGCTACTCAAAATAGAAATTCGATAAGAACTTTTTGGAACCAAAGCAATTTCTAAACCAACATCTGAACCTCATCAATATCTTTCTAATTCCTTGGTATCATCCATATTCTTTCCAAAATCGAATCTCTTTTTTTAATTATAAGAGTCGTAAAACAAAATCAACTGTAGATCCCCTTCCTTTGGTATTTACATAATCTTAAAGCTAAGTTGGGAGGGCAGATCGCAGTCTGACACCAAATAAAAAGGCCCCTTCTGTACTGAGTTAAGGAGATCACCAGGGTATCTGGGAGAAAAGGTGAACACTGGAGCCTGAAGCCTCAACCCTCTCCAATCGAGAGTCCAAGCAAGCAGCCTTCCAAGAGGGACTCAACCTAGCAGAACACATTTCTTGTTTTCCCTGTAGGACTTGGTCCAACTCTGTATCTTTAAATGGAAAGCATGAGCATTTTTGCTTGAGTCATTATTAATCTGTATTTCCCATCACTATCTTGCCCTATTATTTATTTTTCTACTCTATTAATAAACTATAGATTTGACAGATGACCTACCCCCTTCCTGATAAAATAACACAACAAATAATAGCAAGAAATATAACTCTAATTTCTCTAGTTACCTAATCTAGTCAATGTTATTTTGGGAGCAAGGGAGACTGGTTTTCATCTTTGTACAGATTCCATAAAGACTGTAGGAAATGGTAACCAGACTGAGAGTCTTTGGAGACATTTTAACTGTATTTCATATAAACAAACTAAATTCCATTCTCCATGAGTATTTTTTTTAAGTAGGTCCCACACCCAGCATGGAGCCCAAAGTGGGGCTTGAACTCGTGACCCTGAGATAAAGACTTGCGCTGAGATCAGATGCCCAAACCACTGAGCAACTCCAGTGCCCCTCTCCATGAGTATTCTGAATTAAAGTTTCCTTAGTATTATCCTACACTTTCAGGAAGGTTAAACTACCCAATTCAACATGGCACAACACAGAGTTCATGCCAGTTTGTGATGTGGTGTGGTATATGGGTGCATGGAGCAGGGGTAAGAGCAGGTTTCTAAGCAGACAAAGGGCCTTCACCCTTGCATAAAATATATCCTCAAGGTTCCTCTTATTAAAAGAACCAACACCAGACATGATCTTGAGGAAATGGTTGTGTACACAGGAATCTTTATAGATTCAAGGATTTTTAATATAGGATTTCAATCCTTCATCAGGACTTAACCAACCTACAAAGCTAGCATTATAAGAAATCAATATGTAGACACAACCAACAAAGTTATTATCCTCTGTTTATCCCCTGCAGATTGGTCCCTCACTTGAAGGCCCATCTCTAGCCATCCCAGGTGGAGCATAGCATTAACAAGGCTGGTTATTTGTGAGGTCTGCAATCTTAACTACCATGAATGGGAGAGTCTCAGAAAAGAATGAGGGCGTCCTTTTTTGAGAACCAAGCCTGTGGCTACATGACATTTCTCTCTAGTTCATAAGATCGGGTCTCTAGATCACTTCCTTTCAAAACCATGAAAGACAATGAAGTTTCACTGTCAAAGACACAAAGGCTATTTGAACCTGGGGAGTCATGGCAGATGAGGAGGTGATTTGGCTCAAGTGAAGCATGGATGGGAAGGGAGAAATGAGATTACAAGATGAGCAGGACTGTGGCAGGGGAGGCAGGCGGAGGGTGGGAGGGGGGGCGGTGCTCACCACTGCCCCCTCCACTGGCTCCTCAGCCTGGGTGTCCAGTCCAGAGTCCAGCCCAACAGCAGGTGCAGCAGCGACAGGGGGCTCCTCTGCTTTCGGCTCTGTGGGCGGAGCCTGCTCAGATTCAGCCTTTAATTGTTTGTTTTGAGCGTTAGAGGAAAAAGATTCAACATGTGAATGGATAACATCACAGAATACCGGACAATTAAGACTTTCTTCGTCATCCAATAGGCAACTAGCTTCATTAAATCTGTGTAGGAAGAAAGCCCCACATTTGGCCTCATAAGCCCTTAACTGAAAAGTCTAGAAATGAACTCTTATTAAGCTGGTCTTTAGCACCACTGAGCATCATAATTTTCCCTGAAGTTAGACAAAGACTTACCATTTTGACTACTTGTTGTACTTACTTGTAACTTTATGACATCTGTAAGAGATCCTCAAATGGTACCCTCTACTATTTAACAGAGGGAGAGAGAGGAAATCCTAGGAGCGCCCCACCTTTGCTGGTTGAATGGGGGGAGGAAGAGCTCAGAGGTGCATGGTTCTGGGACCTCCCAGTTCTGCTTATATGCACTGTACCCACAATGGAGGGCCACCTCAATATTCATATCAAAATGCATCAGTCTGCATGGATAGGTCATTATGAAGTCATTGTGCACTGCCCTGGCTGGGAGGAGCAGGCCCAGCTACCTGGCCAGTAGCCACCCCAATCACAGATACTTTGCTGCCTCATGTAGTTCTGCTCAGTTTCTTGTTCCGCTTCTCCCCCCATCCCCAATAGAACCTTAGCAATCCATTTCCTTTCATATAATAAGCTAGTTCTGTAAAGAACCACAGGATGGTATTCTCTGGTACCAATTAGACTGTTCTAATTGTGTGGACAAGAGTCGGGTCTTTGCATCCCACTATGACCTTTACTCATAGACATCCTCCAATTATATGCTGAATCGAGCCTCTGGACTCTTAGCTCCAGACTTTGTTAGTTTTAAAATGATCAATATTAAGCAAAAACAGGCCATCAAAAATACCACAGCCACTGCCTGTCACCACAGCTACTGAAAATGTTCCCTCTTTTTCAATTTGGACTAATGTAAGCATATGTATTTAGCAGTATCACTTCACTAGATGGGTGGCCATTAGAAGGCACATTAAGGTTCTTTTTCATCAGGACATTGAAACTGTAGCAAAGCTGAAAAGTGCTTTCCTGGAGGAGTGAGAAGTCTCCAATAGATCCTGTGATTGGAGAAATTGGTTAACTTTTGTCAGACTTTCACCAGAAGCAGTGAAAAATCTCCCCTAGCTCATCTGCCCACAAAGGTGGGTGCACATGACAAGTTCCATATAGAAGGGATGGGAACGCTTTGCTGAGATTATAGGAAATGAGTAATGAATGGCTTAGTGTTGGATAAACACGCAAAATTATTCTCTTGTGCCCCCCCTCAAACCGTCCATTGTGACTCCTGCCTTGATCACACACCGCCCTTCCCTTTAAAGGGCATAATAAAAAAGAAAGGACACGCTGATAGATAAGTGTGCAGAGATTTGATATTTTTATGGGCTTTTATAACCTTTACAGGGTGATCCGACACAATTTTTAAGAAAGGATGAGATAAAATTCGCTCTAATATACTTTCAGGAGTTTTTTATGGGAAAAGATTTCACTTTTATTGTTCAAAAAGAATTATCTTTGCAACAGAACACGGTTTCAGAGCAGCGAAGAGATACCATGTAAGCGCTCAGGATATAACCTTAACAATTTGGAAATCAAGGTGATTTGCTATGAGAGGATGGTATCAAATGACCGACACAACAAGGAAAGCAAGGGTAATTTGACAAAGCACCAAGAAATCCATATGCAGAAAGCTGTCCCCCTGTGAACTGAGTGTATAAGAAGAAAGTATGAAGCCAGATAAGGAGCCAAGAGAAGTTTCAAAATAGGAGTCAAATACATATATCGTGGTACATTAAATAAATACAAAGATAACTTAAAATGAAAAAAAAAATCTGCGTCAGAGCTTGGGCTTCTTGGAAGTCCAGAAAAAGTTTTGAAGTTTTATATAAGACCAGAATAAGTAAGTGGTTTTGGATATGAGCTGAACTGTATTTGCTTGCTAAAATCAGACAAAACAACAGAAGCATAGTATGAAGAGAACGTAGGATTGGTTATGTCCCTACAAGTCACAACATTTCCCCTGTCTTATAATATCACACTAGATACTACAATACAGCTCTGCAATTTAACAACTTAAATTCTAGGGAGGCAAGCATAACTCACTCAACGATGAGTAAGGGTGAAACATGATAGCATGATTATGCATAAAACTCAACTCTTCCAACTTAAAAACAGAAGTCACCCTTCTATTCCTTCTAAGATAATATAGAATTGTAACTTCTTTGTCAAGAAAAGCCAAGGTAAATCGTGAACCACATCTTGTGGGATATAAAGTAGTCCTGTCAGAACTATGCCCTGCTTCTACCACTTTTTTTCTACAAGATGCCTCCTGTAACATACCTTGCAAATGGATTGATACCATGCCATACCCATTTAGGAGCGCTGGTGATCATTTCCTATTGTTTTCTTGGGTCAGGAGGTCATCATTACACATTCAAAGGAGAAGTATATTCTAAATTTTTTGGTGGGAGCAGGATATCATAATGGTTTAACTCTGATACACAGAAATGGAATTCTTCCTTTAGAACAAAATGAGATGTGCAGCCTTCCTGCACATTTTCCAGTATCGTCTGTCATAAGATGGAAAGCAGGTCGTTACAGACGAAGGATATGGGTTGGGAGTGGGGTTAAGAGTCTGGTCACATTCCAGTATAGCACTTGGCTTCAAGTCCTGCTTCTCCAAACTTGGGAGAGCTGATTTAGTGAGAACTGCAAAGGGCCATAGAGGTAACTGAGACCTGAGCAAGGTTTGCAGAGTTTAAACTTGTACTCAAGGGATGTCCTATGGGGCCGTAAGATGCAGACTGGAGAGATGTACAGCTGACCTGCTAACTTCAACCTTCACCTTGCTCAGACCAGTCAATGAACGAAACGTTGGGAAACTGTCCTGCTCCTGGGAAGAGCCTACAGAATCATCACTCAGTGGCAGATGTGCATTTACTATGATTTCCTAGTTCCCCACATGGCTTAGCCAATGTTAGGAGCATCTGCAAGACTGGGCATGACAAAGTTAAGTTCCTCAAAGGAAAGAAGGTATAAAATGTCTACTTCAGAGCACACATACCCAAAGAAGAGAAGAGCAGGCAACAGAAGCTCTTACGACAAGCTGTGAGCAGTAGGAAAATGTTTTAAGAAACTTAAAAACCACTGGATTCTATGCCTGGACCTTTGCTTCCATGTAATAGGTCTGAGTTTAATTATGATCCACCGCCTTTCCTTTTATAGCAATATTCCTCCATTTTTCTCTTGACCCATTCACAAGTGATAATTAAAAATGTCATGCCCCAGTGTTGGCATAACCCTGACTCCATCACCCAGGCTGAAAATTACCAAAGAACATGACACATAAGTCTCTCTGGCTCCCTTATCAACACCAACATAATTTGCATTTTAAATATTTAAATCTTTATTCACAGGCCACACAGACTCCCCCTCTCACCTGGTTACCCAAAATGCAAACGTCTGAAAATCGGTGGATGAGGTATTACCAATGGGCTAGCCTTTGAGAAATATTAAAGTAATCTTTAAAGACAAACTTCCCAGAACAGAACTCCTTACTTAGAAGTGAAATCATCCAAATAGAAACATGTATTCTACTTAAATCCAATTCTTAGCTTCCAATGTGAAAGCCAGGAGCTGGGATAATTATATCCCGTTCCCACGGGAAAGCCAGTAAGCTACAAATAACCCCCGTGAACACCCCAAACTGTATAGCACACTGCCACCAAGCTCACAAGGGACATTATTTAAGGCCTCTTCTTTCAACATCCCTAGTAAGGTGCTAGGGAAAAGCTTTCCCATGAAAGCTGCAACAACAATCTTGTCGGAATCTCCTCTAACACCTAGAGTAATTCTGTTTGCTCCTACTCACTCCCTAGCCAAGCTTTGCCCTCATGTCCTTTGGCAGCAACAGAGGAATCACATCTCTGGTATGCAAGACTTCTTTCTAAGACTCACACGGGGGAGGGAGGAGATGAGAAAAGAGATAGTTTCAGGCTCAAGGAGAAGCAAGGATCTATCGTGAAGCATGAATTCTTGAGGCAGTTTTACTTCTAAACCTGTGGAGTAAGTTATACTCTAGTGGAAACATCCATGTCATTGATGGATTTACAAGGCTCCACTGAAGCCTGGAAGTAGGAAGCTTGTTTTGTTTTGTCTTGTCTTTGCTGGGATCACTGTGCCTTTAAAAATAGAAGCAACCAAAATCAAAGTCACAGTGAAATTTTTCAGCAGCTTTCCTTCCTATTTTCTAAAAAAGAAAGGGCTGCAGAAACTACATTCTGGATATTCAAGCTCTAGATAACCTAGAATGATCGACCCTAGAACGTTCAAGAGTAACTAACAACATTCCCAAAAACACACACTGAAGTCAGCTTACCAAGTTACAGATCATGCTCTGGTCTGTCTGCATTGTAAATAATGAAGTGTCCTGGGGCTGAAATTGGGGAGGAAACAAAAAAAAAAAAAACTTATCAAAGTTCCAGCTAATTTGCTGAAAGAAAAAAAGAAAGAAAGACAAAGATATCATTTAAATTAGCTTCCATCAATTGTATCAATAAATACATTATAAAGTTTTTTAAAATCTCCTTTTGTTTTAAATCAGAAAATCAGATAACACAAAAGTAATTTTAACAGTAGGTGTCTTAAACATAAATGCGAGCTATGAAACCACGCATTAGTACAGTTAAGAGTCATTAAAACAAAGAGCTCACGCTCTTTTTTTTTTTTTTTAAACCTCATGCTCATTTTTGTTCTATAGCTTTTCTTCTGGACATCTACACTGAATTAGAATTCAGTGGCTCTCAGCTACAAATTCACATTTTTTAAATGTTGAAAATTCAGTCTTACTCTATCACCTACCTGTGACTTCTATGGGTTAATAATAAGCCATATCTTAAAAATTATATACCATGTATTCATTGACTTAAATAAAACCAAGCTGGAATAAATCTAAGGGAACAGTGATCTCTAAGACAATATTCATCTCTCATTATGCTGGTAGCCAGGCGTATACCTACCAGACAGAAGACCAGAAGAGCCATTCCTGGTTAATCTGACCAGTTGAAGACAGAAAAACAAAAAAAAAGTACCTACAGATTTTGATATCAGAGCTCCCCAAAAGAAAAGATGAGACAGTGACAGTTGATTAAAGATGCTGTATTGAGGAATTACTTGAATCCAAACTAAACAATAAATGGAATTTCATAAAGCAAATCAAAAAAAGGCATCAATCTATAAGCATAAAAAGAATACGAAAGGTAAGAGCAACACAATTTTGAAATTGAAGAACAGATGAATGAAGACGTTACTTGGCAGATCCCAAAAAAATCTGTATTCTAAGGTGATGTGAGAAACGCCAACAGCAAATCAAGTTTATTACTCAGAACTCCCAAAGGATCAAAAATTAGAAACACGAGGACCAAGAAAAATGGAAGTTGGGTGGTACTAAAGATGGAGAACTGGCTGAGTCTGTTAAAAAGTAACTAGACCTCAAGCATGCATCCAAAAACCAAGCAATATCCTTTGACCCCACCACTAGCCTTGACATTGTTTCTGTGGAGGTTGAAACAAAGGGCCTCTGGACTGGGGAACACAGAGGCATATTAGAGAAGTAGCAGCCTTAAGTGAGCACTTAAATACTGAGAGCCCACACCCCCTCCCTCCAGCTCCCAACTTCTTCCCCAACCACTTCCTGTTATACCCATAGACAGGAGGCCAGAAGAGCTAGAGATTTCACCAGCCCAAGAAAAATGCCTCCAGAATTTCATCAGGGGCTCCTCAACAGGAAAACTGAACCAGAAAATTCCAGAACAGTATGTTTAGTCAATGAGCTCTACCTACCTGTACAAGTCTCCTGTCAGCTTTTTATTATCCCCCTCTCAAATATGAGTAGACAGACAAGACCACCAGATATTTAGGGAAAGTCTCAAGTATTAAAGGGAAAAACTGAATAGTTAAAAAAAAGGAAGTGGAAGAAACAGACTAAGTGTAAAATGACCTTCAAAAATGGACACGATCATTAGTATTTCCAGAGATATAACATGATGTAAGAAGAGGATGCTATTAAAAAACTAATATTCAGTAAGGAAAAAGAACTCTTGGAAATTTAAAAAAAAATAGTAGTGACAAATCTATTGAAAGAGCTGGAAAGTAAAGAAAGATAACCAAAAAAGAAAAAACAATGATTAGAAGACTAAACTAGGAAGCCAATAGAGGAAATGGAGAATGTGACAGAATGACAGAACAAAGAAAATGGAAGAGAAATTATCAGTAAGATTAAAAAAAAAATCCCCAACTAAAGGACACAGATTTTTAGAATAAAAGAGCCTTAATGCAATGTATGGAAGTGGACTCAGACCATAGTACATCACTGTAAAATTTCAGAAACACAGGTTAAAAAAGAGATTCTACAAACTTCCAGAATAAAGAGAGAGTAGTATAGCAGGCAGCAGGGAGAGAGAGAGAGAGAGAGAGAGAGAGAAGAATTTTCTCAAAAATACCAAGAATCAAAACATTATAGTGATTCATCACTTCCATACATCACCTGGTGTTCATCACAAGTGTGCTCCTTAATCCTCATCACCTATTTCCCCCATCCCCTACACCATATCCCCTCTGATAACCATCAATTTGTTCTCCATAGTTAAGAATCTGTCTCTTGATTTGTCTTTCTCTCTTTTCATTCTTTTGCTCATTTATTTCTTAAATTCCACATATGAGTGAAATCATAAGGTATTTGTCTTTCTGCGACTTATTTCATTTAGCATTACACTTTTTCTAAGTTTTTATTTTAATTCCAATATAGTAAACATAGACTAATAACTATCATTCCCCAGTAATTTTTAATACTTCAGTCTCTATACAAATACAAATTGCCTGAAAATTGAAATTAAAAATTTGATATAAGATACAGGATTTCTAGTAGTAGATCAAAGTGATGTTGAAGAACCACTATAGTATTACACAAAGCCATTGACAATTAATGGTTATGTCCAATTAAAGACCAGTTAATAAATGAAGAGAGTCAACAAAGGATAATTACATAACAAGTACTTGGAATTCAAATACTATTTATTTTATTTCTTTTTTTAAGATTTATTTATTTGAAAGAGAGAGAGAGAGCATGGGAGCATGGTGGTTTGGGGGAAGTGGGTGGCAGAGGGAGAAGGAGAGAGAAACTCTAAGCAGACTCTGCACTGAGCACGGAGCCAGACTTGGGGCTTGATCTTATGACCCAAAGATCACGATGTGAGCCAAAACCAAGAGTCAGAGGGTTAACCGACTGTCACCCAGGCACCCTGAGAATACTATTTAAATAATTATGTTCAAGATTAAGAAAAGCCCTTGGAAAAACTGATGAAACCCTCAATTATCAACTCAAAATCTATTTTTGGGGAAAAAAAAGACTATGATCCTGCTATAAAAGCCAAACATGATGCAAAGTTATTACTTGTAGATTATTTCTGTTGGAAAATTGTTTATTCTAAAAATTGGCACGGAGTTTTCATGATCTTAATTTTATTAAATCTAAGATTAATTTTTAAAAAGAATCAAAAGCAGTTTCTCAGTGGTAACATTAGGAGGTAGAAATTGATGGATTAATGGCTTTAAAATTCTAGGGGAAAATTATATTCTAATATAATATCCAATCTAGAAGACCATTATGTAAATAGATAAAGACATTTCAGGTGTACACAGTCACAAATATATACCAAAGAAATTTCAGGTGTACAGGGCCACAAATACATACCTCTCATGCATACTTTTCTTAGGAAGCTACTGGAGGATGTGCTTTAATATGCAGATGAAGGTGTATTCTAACATGTGGCATTAAACCACAAATGAGGAAGATTTGTGCCCAGAAAAGAATGGACTGACATAAGAGAGAAGTGAAGGCAATGCCTAGGACAGACCTACCAGGAGAGCCTGCGGGAACAGCTGTGGCAGCAGACCTTGCCAGAGAGAACCCAGTTCAGGTGGAGCAGTCCAGAAGGAGGAACAAGCAAAATCTTCAATAAGATGAAAGTGACCGAATGCTTAATGTTTTCTGACAAAACGAGGGGAGATTTATGTAACGGAATATGGGATTGAATTAGCAGTGAATCCCCAAAACACTAAACAAATGAACCAACCAACAAACAAATAAGACCCTGCAAGCATTTTCTTAAAGGAGAACAGAAAGTTGGCATAAAACTAAACGTAAACTTCATGGTGAGGGTGCTGATAGTATTGATATCATTACACAATAATATAGACTGGCTGGATGGCTATAGCGTCACTACAGCAGAAGAAGGGCAGGAAGGAGAGGGAGGGTGAGTGAGCGAGAGGGGGGCATCTGAAGGCACTTTAGGTCTGCCCCTTCCAGAGAGAAGAGTCCATAGATAATGCTTTAAAGACCAAGAGGTAGCATTATAAGCAAGTCATGCACACACACGTGGCTGAAAAAAAGAAAATCTGGTGAAAGGAGTAAAAGTATTTACCTCCAAGAAACGGGAAATGAAGGGAGTATATGATGGTCTGAACTTCTATAAAATGCTCTCATACAATTTTGTTACTCTTTACATGATGCATTTATAACTGATAGACATCCACATTTAAAAAATGAGAAATGAGTAACAATTCTTACGATGTGACCTTCAAAAGAGATTCATGCAGACTGAAGAGACACATTAATTATCATCTCCCCCCGTGTGTCTACCTGTCTCTGGATGTGGGTGTGGGCGGACTTTATCACTTTATAGGTAACATGGGGGAAAGTAGTCAAACTCTTAAGTACAGAAATTTTCAATGTTAAAATTAGAAAATATTCATCTCTAATGTTCTGAGGCCAAGCACTCCTCACAGACAAGCCTCTGTTTGAAGTCTCCCTTCCAGGTTTTCAGAACTTACTCCATGAGCTTAAGAGCTGTGTGGCCTGCCCTTTACATGGGTTACAACTATCCATCTGTTGGGTCATACAGAGTGAGGGGACAGTCCATCTTGTGGCTTCTCTTCTACAGACACCCAAGGGAAATTCTGCCTTATTGATCAGAGCCAATCTATGATTTCTGATCCTCAAATAGCTCCTTCCTAAAGAATGACTAAAAAAAGGTAAGGTTGAATATGAATCTGCACAAAGGAGGTACCTAAAAAACATTTTTATTTTCTAAAGACTCATCTCATTGGTTCAAAATAATCCTATATCCTCTTTTCTAACCTCTGAATCTAGTAGATCTCTCAGATCAGGACAACTTCTCATTTCTATTAGAAGAATCAGCATAATTCCATGGCAGGGCTAACAAAATTAATAGCTAGTACAGCCAAGAAGCACTTAGTGGGTGCCGGGCGACTGTGCTAACTTTGCTCCGCATATGTATCTCACTGAATTTTTTTTTAAGATTTTGTTATTTATTCATGAGAGGCACAGAGAGAGAGGCAGAGACATAGGCAGAGGGAGAAGCAGGCTCCCTCCAGAGAGCCTGATGTGGGACTCAATCCCAGGACTCTGGGATCAAGACCTGAGCCAAAAGTAGAGGTTCAACCGCTGAGCCACCCAGGCGTCCCTCATTGACTCCACAACAACCCTACAATGTTGCCACTATTACTGCTTCCGTTATTGAACTTGAAAGTCGTAGGGTCAAGTTTTGCACTGACATGCTTCACCATTATACTATACCAGTGATACCAAAGTCCATATTTTAACAATTTGCATCATTCTCAGCAGATGGATAGTGCCAGCAAATTGATCTCTTACCTGGGTGAATCCATTAAATGTACCACCAGAAGCCTAAACAGAAAGGGAAATGAAAGTATGTTATGTTTTACCATTTTTGTGGGATCAGTAAATATCCATCAGACAAGTTGGAAAGTGAAGACCACCACACATTTTAAAATAATACAAAAGGTTGCTGTGCATGAAAGTGTTTAGGAAATGCAAAAGGCCATACTGTATTATCTTAAATAGGCTGACAAAAAAAAAGATTATTTTTGCAATTATTGCTGGCATGTGGCTCAGTGCTAACCAAAGCCCACTTTCTTGATAATGAGAAGATGATTCCAGAGAAAAGCCATGAGGCGTTAAATATCTCCTTTTATAGACTGCTGATACAATCTAGAAGTATTTTCACTATTTCTTTAATACATGATTTGGATAAACAGCTATTAGGAGTCTACAGTTTCAGGGGGCCTGGGTAAAAGCATTTCATGTGCTCTTAATGCTGTAGAATCACTTTGAGATGAGTAAATTAGTCTGTTCTACATATTTTTAGTGCTTGAATAGTAAATATAAAGTAGAATAAACACAACTAGTGGGATGGTAAAATAGACTCATTAGTTCCAACACAAACATCCTGCTTTCTGTATTTTCTTTTTCTTTGTCAACCTATTTGTATTTGGTTTGCACAGATTTCAAGGAGATGAGGCAGGCCTCAGAGAAGTGATGGATGGATAATGAAGTAGGTGGAAACATGAGGAAAAACAGAACCTACAGAAGTCTTTGGCTAGTCTATGCTACGTAATGGGGTAAGTACCTCTTCTTTATCAGGCTCTATTTCTTGGTACAACAATCCATATCTCTGGTTAGCAATTTCATCTTCAGATAAATCTGAGTTGCTGATGTCATTGTCTTGGGGACTAGCAGAACTCTCGGTGCTAGCATTGTGGGAGGCTCCCAGAACCAATGGTCTAGCTACCTCTCGGCTTTGTTCCCAGCAATTAGCATATACATCTGCTGCTAAGCTCACCGCCAGCCCTCTCTCACCTTCAACTGTATCTAAACGTTCCCAGCAATTATCTGTATCTCCTGTATCTCTGATAGGCCAGTGGTTAATGGGATCAAGCAAATTGGCAAATCTACTTGCTTGGCCATCTGGTATACCAGAGAATTCTAACATATCCATACTATTCACTGCTGAATCCAAGCTTGGCTGCCAGATTTGACCTGGACCTGTTGCCCAAGAGTCTGTTTTTACAACTGTTGGTAAGTTAATGGTATGGTTACAGTTTCCAGTCACCATACTCCCAGGCCACTCTATTAATGAGTTTTTTGCCTTATATAAACACCAATCTCTTCTGTTTGCATTAGTTCCCAGAGAATAAGTAGGATCTGTCCTAGAATGAGCTGTCGCTTCATGTTTTCTTGATAAAACAGTAGCCTGACTTTCATTCCTGTCAACCCCAGGAGTATGTAACACAGCCTCATGCTGAATCTCTTCAGCATCTGCACTGCCTTGTCCTGAGTGATCATGGTTAGGAGGATCTATTAAATTTTTCCTTATGTCTTTTCTAGTTAAATCCCATCCCTCAGGGCTGGCAATTCCAATATTAGATACAGAATCAGTCTGGAGACATGGATTCAAAATATCTGTGTGATGGGTGGGTTTAGCTCCAGAGCCCTCTATAATTTCAAAATTATTTATTTCTACTTGATTCCCCTCATCTAGTCCTTGGTTTCTGTCACTAAATTTGGCAGCTAGATCTACTCTTTCTAGGTCTTCTTCTAATACATCAGCTTTATCAAAATATATTTCATTGGTCCTTTCACTTTCCTTACAACTAGCTCTTGGATCTTTCCTCATTTCCTCTTTATTGATGGCTAAGGTCTCCTGGTCTTGCTTTCCTTTTGTCTTAAGAAGATCTACTAGCCTGTCTCCTGCACTTCGACATGCTTTCTCTCCAAATGCCTCTGTACTTTCTAGTGCCTTGGTATCAATAGCTCTAGTGTCTACCTTTTCACATGTCTCCACACCTGCCCACATAGAATCTTCTATCTTCTGTTTCTCTTCTGCTTCTTCTGACTGTTTAACTTCTTCTTGACTTTCTTTGATCAGGCCACCAGTTTCTGTGGCTGCCATCTCTGAGGCAGGTAAGTCATGAGGCTGGTCCATCTCCATACCAGCGGCTATGGCAAATTCAGCCTCAGGCATAGGCTCTGGGGACAGATGTTCATTTCCACATGGAGGGGCTGGCCCCATGACATCCTCACCCTGTTCAGCTACAGTGTGCCAGTCAGCAGAAGGCGGAATTCCAGTAGATAATCCCATGTCTTGCTCTGCTTCAGAGAGACATGAAGAGTCTTCCTGAGACCCACCTTGGGTAATTTCCTGGCTGACACTCTCTGTACTAGCATCAGGGCCCCAAATAAATGCACCTAGGTCAATTTGAGATCTTTGAATTTCTTCGGCCAACCCACTCTCTGGAGTTTCCTCCATGATCAGGTTACACAGGGAAAGACTTTTTGAAGAGTCAGTCTTTAGAGTATGCAGAAGAGCAAAGGAAAAAAAACATAAGATGAAATAGATCATGGTAAGACTTGATGAGAAACACAAAGCTATTCAGTATGGTAGCGCCAGTTAAACAAACTAGAGAGCTTATAAATTAAATGGCTTAAAGTTAAATCTGCGATTAGCAATGCTATGAGAAAAGAAAGCTCATCCTACATACTATCCATGTATATAATGTATAACAAATATTTTTTTTAAATCCAGAATATTCTGGATATTTACCTACCGGTTGTACCAAATCAGTGCTTGTCTGTTTGAGGGAAAAAAAGGATAATTAATAATAATAATATTAATAATAATAATACAAAAGAAGCAAATTCCCTAGCACATTAAAATCCCATGCTGTTCATAGTCAACATTCTCCTGAAAGCTGTGACTTTTACTGGTTAAAGATTAATTTTTACAGCTTGTTTTGTGATAGAAATGAGTTTTGTTCCTATACCGTCTAAGACTACATAATCGAAACATGAAGAAAGCCTCTCTCATTTTCTAGTCAACAAGGATGTTTCAGGGCTATTACAAGACTTCTGTGTTAGCAGACTCTGAAATGCAAAGTTTCAAATAAATAAGCAAATCTGAGAACATCGGAATAAGTTCAAGCCTTAGCAGCCACAAAAGTACACAATACAGATGCTCTGACACAGTATCAGAACAGATGTTCCCTAAACTCACCCTATACTTGCTTCTGCCTCTGAGACAGTGTTCATATAGAGAGTGGTCTGATACTACTCACTCTGATGGGATGATTCTCCTCATGTTCTCCCCCCAAACCTAGAATCCTTGTCTGTACACAAACAGACAACATGGGAAGACTGAGAGGATCAAGGAACGCCAGCAATTATGTCCAGGGAGCTACCGTTTTGCAATTTTGTCATTGCTACCACTCTTAGCAGGCTTGTCCTCTGAAATATTCCATGCTCCTTCCAGATGATACCTTCACCCTCCCCATACTCTTCCTAGCTAGGACAGAAAAAATGTATTATGATTCCAATAAAGATATGAAATACTGGAATAATAAAACATTAGCATGGACAATGCTTGATCTTCAAGAAAATTAACACAGAGTCGGCTAGAATTCAAATGTCCTGAATGTCAGTCCATATATCCCCTTTTGTGATTATACAAGCAAAGCCAGGTCACTATAAAAGATGTTTTCAGTCAAAGCTCTGTTTGTGTCTTTTTCCCACCTCTAATTTCTGGAAATGCTCATCCTTGCAACATCAGATTAGCAGAATACATACCATTAGTAGCAACAGCTACCTTTTATTGATATGTACTGGATGTGGGGCTAAGCACTCTACAAATATTACTTGAATCCTCACACAACCCTCTGTGATAGGTGTCATTACCCTTACTTTACAGATGATGAAAATGGAGGCTGAAAGAAATTCATAAATTGCTCAAAGTCATATTGTTATAAGAGGTAGAGTCTGGACTCTAATCCAGGGCTGCCTGGCTCTAAAGTTCAAATTCTTATTGATGAAGCTTCATTGGAAATAAAGTGAGAAAGTGGCTCCCTGTGCAGAGTAGCTTATCCCTTATATTTTCTCATCCATGTTTTCTTCTATTCTATTTAAAAGCAACAAAAAATGTGCCTTCCCTTCACTATAACATTCTAGGAGCCACCAGTAATCACAGGAAGAAAATCTACTTGCTTGGCCATCTGGTATACCAGAGAATTCTAACACCAAAAAAGGGCCTAACACCGAATTCTTGCTTGTTCAGGCATCTGGCACCCTGACGCTCTTTTCCTCACCATTGTTTCCAGGTGCTGGTAATGCTTGGGACCATCAGGGAGCTGAAGATAGTTGTAGGGGACTACGTTATCATTAAAAATGCCTAGGGCTTCTTTGCTCCACAGGTGAATTAAAAAATAACAAGGTCTCCAAATTTCTAGGGATCCAGGTACATCAAAATACAAGCTCTTTGTATTCTTACCGTCCATAGGTCCCAGGGCAATGTCTGAAAGCAAACAGACAAACAAAAGTATGGTTAGTATACAAATCCCAAGCATGTAAAAAGTACTAAGGTGACAAAAGTTCTTGAAATGAAACATTTTTGAAACATTTTGTACAGCACTGTCCAAAAGAACTTTATTTGGTGATAATGTTCCTTATCTCTGCCATCCAATATGGCAGCCACTAGTCACATGCATTTATTGAGCACTTGAAATATGCTAGTGTAACAGAACCAAATTTTAAGTTTTACATAATTTTATTTAATTTGAATTTGAATAGCCAAATGTGGCTTGTGGCAACCACACTGGACAGCAAAGGACTAGTCTGCTTTTCACTACACAAGTAGAAAGCCATATCTGAAACATGATGAATGGTTTTACTATAACACACACACACACACAGTTAAAATGAAGTACAAAGTGTCCAGATACTAGAGTTTCTCACATCTTAGAAGACATGCAGCTCTGAATCATTGCTGATGTACCTCCTCTCTTCCTCCCACCAAGAGGATGCATTATGACCAGTTTGATGGTAAATAAAACCCAGAAAAAGAGTTCTTCAATATGCTGAATTAGATGATAACAGAGCTCAATTAATAGATAATCATGCAAAATAGTAGGGTGCCCCCTCACGCATATGGATGAATTAATTATACTTACTACTGCCATTTTAATTATAAAGCTCACTGATCCCGGGGAATGGATCCAGATGGTTCAAGGGATTTCTGCTGTGCATTTGGGAAAGTGAGGGAGACTCCTCTTTCTCATTTCCTTTGTGGCTGTGAATTGCTGGTAAAGCCACATCCTTACTGCCTTTGTCTTTGTGACTAGAAAAGATCTGTGTTTACGCACTTGTTTTGAATCTGGGCCTGCTCTGACTGTACCACCCCAGCCACCCTGCATCTCTATGCAGCCCGGCTGGTCTCTGGGTGAGCACCCAGCTGTCAAATGGCTAAGAAAGGAGAGTAGAAGAGCTAAACGGAAAGCCACAGTTATTTGTATGTGGATTCCTTCTGCAACCAATATGTACTTTCTGATTATTCAGATGGTTTGGGTTTTCTTGCATCCCAGCCGCTTAAGAATGACAGCCCCTAAAAGCTACTCCATATCCCTGCATAATGCAGACAGCACTGGTATTTTCCCCAAAAGAAGGCAGCAATGTGAGACGTCATGTTTATCAGTCCTCAGAATCATGAAAGGATGTGTTAACTCATGTGGACACTGTGGAGATCACAGGTGAGGTGTTCTGCTAGCAGCAAGAACATCCATTTAAAACACGAGGTCAGGCGATGGGCAAGGGAGATCATTCTGAGTGAAGGGGAATGAAGGCCTGCAGAATCTAATGGCTCTGTTCTTTTTTTGCTATCTCAGCCTCAGACTGTCCTTGGTCAAAAGGAGATGCGATTAGAGCCAGCTCACAGGATGACTCTGCCATGAGGTGACTCAATTTAGAGCCACCGGGACGCCAGGGTAGTTTAGTACCTGGCCTGAGGGAGAACACAGGGCACACATGGCTTTTCCTAACTGCAGTGATGCATTTTCATCAGAAGAAAGACTTTTGAAGGTTTAACCGAAGTCATTTTTTTTTTTTTTTTTTTTTTTTTTTTTTTAGATTCTGAATCTTCGTTTTAAATCTACACAAATTTCCCCAATCTGGGGATTTATTTAATCATGAATTGATACACGAGAAGTTTCTCTCTCAAGTCAAACTTGCAGATACAAAGGCTGTGGAATCGCATCCACGATCAGAACGGCACACGGTGCAGAAACCTGCCTTCTGCCATAGAGCAGCGAACGCTGGAGAGTGAGGCAGACAAGTCCCATGAATCCTGCACAACGAGAAAGCTCTAACAGGGAAGGCTTCCGAATGAGATGTGAATTTGTTTTCTGCTTTCCTTGGTCACCAGGGCTGAACCCTCAAACTTGCTGACAATTACTATATTAGCATTTCCCCAATATGTTTTAGACAACATTCCGATGACTGTTAAGAAACCTTCATTAAAATAGGTTTCTGTGGCCAAACAAATTTGGAAAACAAGTCTAAACAGTTTTTTCTTTTATCTGCAGAACTTCTTGGAGCCTTTACTATTCTAATGCATATCATGACTCCTTTTAAAAGGGAGCTAAAAGAACTTTCTGAAACATTTATCTAAGAGACCCATTTTTTTGCAAAGTACGTTTAAGGCTAGTATCTGGTCTGCTTATTAATTCCCTGCTTTATTTACCTGCTTGATTTTTATTGTTCCCGTCTTACAACAGGTAGGCCTTTAGAACCTCAATCACATTCTGGAATTCGGCATGGATTAGGAGAAGCTTTATTTATTGAGGTTTATATTGAGGTGATAGTGGCTTACTGTAAGGTATTAAGAAGACTTCAAGACCAGAAAATTGAGCTAGGTCTCAATCCTCAACTTCAGTTTTACAATACACCTTCATTAATTCATTTGAAGTTTTCTTCTAGCGTCTTTGGATGTGGTCAAATTCAAACGTGAGCCCCCAAGCACATCAAAAATATGGATATAAACAATTTCTGTTCAGCCAATTTTGAGTTAACCTCCTTTCGTGAGCATAGAGAATTGTAAGGAAAGCCCACCACAGAGAAATCATCCAGAAGTCATCACAGAGCCCACCTGCAGATTCCCTCTGCTGGAGAACTGGAGAACTGCTAGAGATCACTAGTGAAGTGGGGAAAGTGGGGCGGGGCGGGGAGAGCAATGAGCAAGGACAAGCTGGGTAAGCAAGGCCTACTCTGGCCATTGTCAAGATCATACAAGGAAAGCTTCTGCAATGTGGAGGGGAACAACATCATTGAGTTGAAAACTATCAGGACTGGAAAAGCTTTCTCTTGGGGCATAATTTCAAGTTATCTCTAATGAGCTTTAATCTGCAAAACGCTGAGGAAGGAAAGTACAGAAAATAAGTAAGAAGACCAAGGCCAGGGCCCAAAGAAAGAGCTTAATTTGAAGAAGCTATAACATATATCATCCAAAGCTGAACACTCCGAGTGCAGAATAATACTAATAATGACAATTACTGTGAGATGGAGGATTCCTGGGCAAACTGGATTGTATGACTATCCCAGCTCTATGGCTAGAGAGAGCTAATGGTAGGAGGATGTTTGGAATGATAGATATAGATAGGGTCCTCTCTCTATATACGTCCTTCCCATTAGGGAACAGTTGTCAATCCCAAAGAAAAATGAATAGTCACTTGAAATGGACAGGGGTCCCTGACAGGCAGCTGCTGCCCTACAGAGCTGATTAAAGTTTATAAAATGCCATCCCCAGACATCCGAACCACCACTGGATACCTGCGACATGGGTGAGTGGGTCACTCCAACAGAACCTACAGGTGCCACCTCAGGTTTGAAAGGGTCAAAGTCCAGATCCAACAATGTCTCCTCTTTCTTTACCTCAGGGACTTCATTCTGTTGAAATAAAATAAAACAAAATATGGGATTTTATGATACAATCCACGTATGACTCTCGACACCACCGAATGTCCCCAAGGCAGTTCTGATAGTTTACCATTTAGGTGGCTCACCAGTAAGCTCCCAGAGTCACCAGCTAAATGTGATGAAGAGGGAAATAAGCAACTCTGGAAATAACCAACTATAATTTAAGACACCCAGGAATATGACCCAGGCTATAGTTCCTCTCCTCTGTCTAGCTCCGAATCTGGCCAACGAAGAGAAAGTCTGAGAGGTATATCCTGATTCCGGAGGCCACCAAGATCCAAGGACACTCCTCTGCTAATTCAGAAATCTCAGATCAAAAATTACAGATAGCTGGATGAATAAAATGGGCCAAGGCTTAGACCCATGACTGTAGCCCCCTGCTGTGATGTCCCCTGCAAAGCTAGCATGTAAAAAAGGAAGGGACACTATCTATTGTGACTATATCCACCTGCCTCATCCCCTCAGAGGGGCCCTATCCTTTGATTTAGTTATCATATGAATCATTCTTCATCCATAATGTGTTGGTCTCAACTGTGTGTATGAAGGAGGGAGGGTAAAAGAGAAAGAGGCAAGGAGAGGACCATGTTCCCCAACATTCACTGGAAAATAACATTCCTAGGTTAGAAAGACGTTAAGACAAAGAAGAAGACATAGGATAAGAATCCTACTATGATAGTAGCAAAACGTTTATAGTACTGAACATTAATACGTGTTCATTTATTGTAGTATCATGATACAAAAAAAGTAACATGGGCTTGAGGTTAGCCTAACCCTGGCTCGAGTTACACAGTAAGGGTGAGAGCTGAAATAAAGTCTCCATAAACTATCACAGTGAAGAGAACTGGATCAGTTTTCACAGAATCAAGTTACATGTGTTTGATGTTTGATATAAGCTTCAATTTTGACCATCTGTTGCCTAGAAATCGAAAGATCAATCATGGATAAAGCATATATAAGAAGAGGGATGTTCAGAGAAAGATTTTATTTAATTTGTTTATATTTTTGAGAGAGAGAGAGAGAGCACGCATGCACACGCACATGCACAAGTTGGGGGTCAGAGGGAGAGAGAGAATCTCAAGCAGACTGATGCTGACTGAGGAGCCCAACATGGGGCTCAATCTCACCACCTTGAAATCATAATCTGAGCCAAAATCAAAAGTTGTACGCTTAACCAACTGAGCCGCCCAGGTGCCCTCTAGAGAAAGATCCTAAAGAACAAGAGTTCTTTTAATTAGTATTGATCATAGACATAAAATTTAAAACTGTATGTAAGTTTTGGGGCCTAATAGATAATACATTTTTTTTAGTATATCCACACTCATTGTAGTAGGAAATCTGCTTAAATATCGTGCTATTGGTTTTGAGCTATCTATTCTGCAGCATGATTATTCTTAGACACTTTAAAAAATTTCACAAGTTAGTGCTCTTCTGAGATCCCTCTTGCTTCAATAATTACAATCACAAAACTATCAACAGATCCTTCTGGCCTCTATTCAAAATCTACGTGAGTTCTGTTTTTCACCATTTATACTGATACAAGTTTTATTTTTAAAATTTTCTGAACACCTATATTCACTTAGAATAGGCTAGGCACTGTTCTGAGAACTTTATACATGTAAATATTAACTGAGATTAGGGCATTTTGCTGCAGTCTAATGATGACAACCCCACAACACTGCTATTGCCTTCAAATAATGACCTTACTAGATTCCTCAAACCTCACTTCACCGGACTTCACCGGCCCTGTCTAATCCTTACAGAATTCAAGTAGGAGGTAGCATCATTTCTCCATCTGGGGATGAGAAGAATAGGCTCATTGAGCTTAGCTGTTCTCCTGGGGCCCTCAGCTGCAAGGCAGCCAAGCCAGGACTGCAACAGCTGGATGCCTTTGACACCAGTGCTATTCTAGGCTGCTGCTAAGACCAGGTCCCTCGTCTCTCAAACAGGCACCCCGAGAATTTGCCTGGAGGGTACAGTATGTGGAGAGGAACAGGAGAGATTACAGATGCAAAGAAAACTTTGGGGGTGACAGGTATATCTTGATTCTGGTGATGGATTCATGGGTGTACACGTATTTCAAAACTTATCAAAATGCAAAATGCATACTTTAGGGGCACCTGGGTGACTCAGTTGGCTAAGTATCTGACTCTTGATTTAGGCTCAGTTAATGATCTCATGGTCATGAGATAGAGACCCTGCATCATGAAGCCTGCTTAAGATTCTCTCTCTCTCTCTCTCTCTCTCTCTCTCTCTCTCTCTCCTTCTTCCTCTACCCCTCCTCACTGCTTGCACTCTCTCCCTCTATTTAAAAAAAAAAAGTATACTTTAAATATGTGCCATTAATTGTATGTCAATCACACATCAATGAAATTAACAGAAGAAAACACCCTAACGATAGGGGGTTGGTTAAACCTACTATGGCCCAGCCTCATGATACAGTGCGTTGTTGCTATTGAAAATGATGAGATGTATAATAAATTAGCATGAAAATCTTTGTTATATTTGTAGTAAAATAAATCAGAAGTTATAAAACTGATATAAAATGATCAAGTTTCTGAAAATATACCTTTCAGTCGCTATTTAAAGAGAAAAAAATTGTGGCATTACAAAAAGTACATTAGTAAGACTGGTTTTTGCTGGGGAATATGACTACGCTCTTAAACTTTTACTTTTTGCTTCTGTAATTTACTAGTTTTTTGTATCAATCATGCATCCTTAATGGAATCATTCTTTTTTTTAAGATCTTATTTATTTATTCACGAGAAACACAGAGAGAGACAGAGACACAGGCAGAGGGAGAAGTAGGCTCCACGCAGGGAGTCCGACGTGGGACTCGATCCCGGGTCTCCAGGATCACACCCTGGGCTGAAGGTGGCGCTAAACCGCTGAGCCACCCAGGCTGCCCTATGGCATTATTCTTATAAGCTTAGCAGGTAACAGAGATTTCAATGTATAGCCATAGACATAAAACATTTAGAGTCTCCAAACCATCCCCCAGGGCTGCATGCAGGCAGGCAGGCCGACACACAGACACACACCCATGCGCACACTCACAATGATTTTTTTAATGGCAACACACTCTTTCATTGAACCTGGTGACAGCAAAACCATAGGTATAATTTCTTCCCAAGAGTTTTTAAATTTTTTCTTCTTTTAGTCAACGTATTTGAGCACATTTACTATATTCTAAATATTATGCAGGATACTTATTAACTTCCCAAGAAGGCAGGGGAGGTCAGATAAGGAAGCTTAAGAAAGAAAGGTCCTTGCTCCTAAAAGCAAGGCCAACTGGGAGATAGTTTCCACATAATAGATATGTCTTTCATTGAAGGGTCACAAAATAGCTTACATATTCTAACAGTGAGTAAAGTTTTATCATTTCATTACTAATGAATGCAGCGGTTTAAGGAAATTTAACTTTATGACGGGAAGCCTGTGATAAGACCACTAGAGATGGGTACCTCACAATTAATGCGAGTAATGGCTATAAAGTGAGTAATGGTAAAAACTACAGTGCACTGGGATGCCTGGGTGGCTCAGTGGTTTGGTACTTGCCTTCGGCCCAGGGCAGGATCCTGGAGACCCGGGATTGAGTCCCACATTGGGCTCCCTGCATGAGCCTGCTTCTCTCTCTGCCTGTGTCTCTGTCTCTCTCTCTCTCCCTGTGTCTCTCGTGAATAAATAAATAAAATCTTAAAACATATATAGCTGTAGTACACTGCCAGGGCCCAAGAGTTTTATATTTGCAATTTTAGAATGAGAAATCATTCAATGACTGCATAGGACATTGTCAAGTGCTCTCCAACTTTTATTATATAAGATTTTCAAAGAATAGTACAGTGAAGATCCATTTACCCATGACCTAGACTTGTCAAAGTTACCCTGTTGTCACACTTGCTACACGTGCCTACCTACATTTATATGATCCTGCAAACGCTCTCATGAGTTGACACACAACAAACTAAACTTTCTAAGGAACTGTTTTCCCAGGTTGATTGGTTGCTGGAACAGTTTGGTAGACTGCACAACCATTCTTCGTCTAGCACGTCATGAGTTTGCTCACTAACCTCGCATACGCTCCAAGCAAGAGTGCAATAGTTGACGGCACTGAGAAGAGAGACAGAGGGGAGATGGAGAAGGCCTGTGCTTACAGTGAGCTTCTGTGCTGACCACTGGATGAACAATGCTTCAACTGGTTGAGTGAAGACCCTCCTATCAAAGCATTTGGAATTTAATAATACCGCTGATATGTAACAACCTGAAGAACTTTGCTAGTATCAAAAACCCAAAGACATTCTAGAGAACATTCATTAAGAAGAGAAGGAGTCAGGGGTGCCTGGGTGGCTCAGTCAGTTAAGCGTCTGCCTTTGGCTCAGGTCATGATCCCCAAGTGCCAGGATCCAGCCCTACATTGGGCTCCCTTCTCAGCAGGGAGCCTACTTCTCCCTCTCCCTCTGCACCTCACCATGCTCGTACTCTCTTTCTCTCTCTCTTTCAAATAAATAAATAAATAAAATCTTTTTTAAAAAAGGAGAGAAGGAGTTAAAATGGATTTGTTCAATGTACTGGATATCTAGTATCTGTTATCTCTGAGGTGCTCAGAACGCTGGCACGTGTGGTCTACAGGCCTCTGCTTTCCACATCTGTCCTAGGAATAGTAGAGTGTGGCAGAAAAATGACAGGTCTGCTCAACTTCCAAGTAGGGATGATGGCCTGTACATCACAGGAATGATGTCAAGACTAAATCGAATGAGACCTTGCATATAACACACTCAGTCACACGCTTCCCCATTGTGATCTCCTTCCTTTCTCCCCAACTCTTTCTTCTGCGTTCCCCTTCTCCCCTTCCTCTGCTGGCCTCTCTGCGCCAGCTAACCACCACTCCCTACCCATATCTCAAACCATGTTCAAAAATACAAAATCTCAAAAAAGATTCACACCATGAGATGCTCTGTTAAGAAGCAGAACAT